GTTAATGAAATATCTGAACTTTAAAACCCTCTTTTGACAGCTGTAATTTGGCACCAGCTGGTGCAGTAATTGACTCCAGTTTAAATATCAATGAGGAAGATTCTGGGCACTCTGTATGGCTAAAATTTTTAGAAAACTGGCATCAATTCCAGAAAACTCTCAATAATATGGGCTATTTACATAATGTCAATCTTGGAAAACAGAGGCAGTAGATTGATCTTGAATAATAAAAACCAACATTGCACCTTTCACTTCCTAAGTCACCAATGCCTGCCTTCCTTTGAAACTTCTCCTTTCATTCCTGATGGAGAGGGAAGGGGAAGAAAGCAATGTACACAGCAGTATTATTGTCTAAATATGCATTATCACAGGACATATCATCACATTGTCTTAATGAAGCARTTTCTACTATACTATCAAATACTGTCCTTACTTTGTCTTCCAATGAAATCATAGAAAGTGAGGTTAGATCACTAGAAAATATTACATATTATTGAGAATGAAACTAATGTCTTTAGCTAGGAAATTAATGGTGAAATATTTTGCTTCTTTTCATATAAGAAGCAAAAGATCTGGATTAGCACCCAGGACAACTAAAATAAACCCCACAGTTACTTTCTAATTTGGAATAATCTTATCATGAGAACCTGATTGTGTGCATACAGACACTATAAACTAGCCTGACTCYTTTCAATTAAATTTTGTATTGTGGCTCCTTTTAATCTATCTTGATGAGGTTAGACTCTCACAATTCTTAAAAGAAGCATCAATAAATTCTATTATTCTTGGGGAAAATGTTGCAAACTTATGCATGTAGTCCCACCAGACAAAGAAACTAAGAATATCAAAGCTATAAAATCAATTTGGTGGCATATSAAATTTACTTATTATTCATTAAAATAGAATTCCATTCCAATTATTCCTCATAAAATTTAATTCTTTCTTATACAAGGTACATATCAACTTGTAATGTGTTTTCTTTATACATATAACCAAAATAAATATGTTTTCACATTGCACCTATTCACAATTCTTTGTATTACAATTAACAAGAATSATGCAACTCCATGAAATGAATAAGGATAGATGCAATAAATACATGATTCCAGTACCTATTAACTTTACTTATATAAACACAGTATTCTAAATGTCACAATTTTAAAGCAACATTTCAAAATATGATTTGGAAAAGTAATTTTTAAATTATAAACTTAAATTATATTGAATAACTAAATTAGCCTGATTGACACTGAATAACATTCAATTTCTTTAGTTTAGTTTCTCTGCAAAGCTAAAGAGAGCAGCCTCCTCAAAGGTTTTATTGACTGCCCAATTTGAAGATGTCTATACTCTGCCTGCATAGTAACAAGCTGGCACTAATAAGCCATACATAAGATACCAGTTATTAAAATACAAATTAGGCACCTTTTATGTTTATACATGTGTAAGTAAAATTAATATTGCAGGCTTAGTTGGAAATAAAATTGCTTTAGTTAACCAACCATTGCAATGCAATCAAATGAGATTTCAAATGCAACTGGAAAWGATCTGTTTGGTAGAAATAATAGCAAGGATTTCATGTAGAATAATTAATTTACCAAGCTCTTTTTTCTCCCACCTTCCCTTAATACAATAATTTTTCCATCAGAATTGACATGAAATGTCACATTTAATACCCATAAGTTGCATGGAGACCTGAAAGACAGCTGRTAGACATAGCTTATTTACAAATATTGGTCTGAACTTGTAAATGCATGACCACATAAATCTTAATCCATTTAGAGTGTATGCCCTTTGTTCCCTAGATTGTATATTCAGCTGGGAATTAAAGGGAGCTGAGGGAGAGTCTGAATTACATGAGGCCTTTGTTGTTGCCAGCATATTAGTGCTTTGCCTTTTGTTCTTGTTGTTTATGAGATCTCTCTACATTACACAGAAGGGAATGTTAATCAACATTTTGCCTAAGTAATATTAATGAAACTTGCTCACTTGTACTTGAAGGAAGAAACAGAATATTATATTCCTTTTTGAAATGTTAATGTATCTTTTAGGAAATTATTTCTGCCTTCTAAATCATCTTAGTGTTAAATTATTAAAGGCTGGCATTAAGGAACTATTGCACTGGTGCAAATAGTTAAATACCTTAAAAGATAAAAAGATTATAAAGTTTAAATGGAGGGCCTTTTAGAAGACAGTAGCATTTAACTTCAAATWAAACATTTTTAAATGTTTGATTAAAATACTGCCAATTTGCAGGTGTTTTGTATACAATAAGAAGAGACTTAATGTCAATGATTTTTAATTTCCCTCCACCAATTTGGACTGTGTTCTGGCCTTGAAGGATTTATTTAACTTTGCTACATCTAAAAACTACAGCACCATCTACTTGATAAGAAAAAAAAATGGGAAAAGTTTTCAGGCTTTTGTACTTGTTACATATTTGTGTCTTAAGATTAGGCAATTAAAAATTGCCTATTTGTGTTCTATTCTTCAAGAATTAAACTGTCACTATTCATGTTCTAAGACTCTATATGAAAGTTAGAGCTATTGAAGAGACTTTATATAAGGTGACATGGTAGGAAATGGAAAACATCARTTCTCAAAGTGCAAACTATAACAGATATGTGTCCTGTAAAAAAACATTCATAGTTGTCCAAGAAGGTATGCAGGGAAAAGAAATGACAGAGCTCTAAAATGAACTAACTTCTTTTCCCCTTTAACAGCCTTTTTGATGTCAATCAATTTCTTCATAGGTCCAAATAAACTGTAAAGTAACCCAGAGGGAAATTAAGAACAAAATTTGTTCAAGAATTCTCCCATAGGGCAAGCACTATTTCTTAAGAAAATCTAACACTAGAGGAAACCATTTATTTTCTATTTAACCATGTAAGATTTACTAATGGCTTTTGGGTCGTTGTATGTACAATTTGTCATCTTGCATGACCTCACAGCAGTGCTGCTAGTTTGACACAGGCACTAAGAGAATATATGATAGGGGTTAAATTTCAAGGTAAATTTATTTCATATTTTGGCATTTCACAAATAAGAATACAGGTTAAAATTTTTGGTGTATCGTAATTAAAATGTCTTCTTTTTCTTGAAATAACTAAAATAGTAGAGTGCCTTACAATTGACAGTGGCCTGAATTCAATAAAATATGTAATATGTAGCATGCATTGAGGATAGCATTGTAGGTAATGGTCACTATTACTTCTGTAAGGAGAAAAAAGTTATTGCCAAAATGATGAATTTGTGTTAATGAGCCCAWTATTAAAGAGTTTACAATGTGTCTGGGCAGAATCCATCTAGTTTTACATGTATCAAACTTCACAATGCTTTTACAGTGCCCCTCTGTTGGGAATAGGAAGTAAAAATAACATCAATTAATATTAATCAAAAGAATATTTACTAGGATAGATTATTTTTTCCTTATGTCTATTTGAGAAACACAATTTCAAGTTTCTTTTTCTTATATTTCAAAGTAACCAACTACAATGTAAACCCTAAAATTAGATGAGCTAAAATTGTCCTCAATATTCAAAGACCTTATTTTTTTGACTTTGACACCAAATTTTTCTTTACATATGAGTGACAAATTGATCTTTATTGTCCTCACTAGGATAAAMAATAGTGGAAAAGCTAGTTCTTACATGACACTAACAACATGAACAATATGATCAAGTTACTGAGAGTMGACTCACTAGGATAACAATAGTGGAAAAGCTAGTTCTTACATGACACTAACAACATGGACAATATGATCAAGTTACTGAGAGTCAACTCACTAAGATAAACAATAGTGGAAAAGCTAGTTCTTACATGACACTAACAACATGGACAATGTGATCAAGTTACTGAGAGTCAAAAAATTTGACAGCAGTCTAGTAACATCAAGCAATGTAGTAAATTGATTAGGAAATATAAATTACTGAAAAAGTAGTAAAATATGAATACTATCAGAAAAGATTTTTTAAAATCAAGCATCGAAGATTAGCTAACTATTACAAGGGAATGAAATACTCAGTGCATTTTCCTTTGATAGACAAGAAAAAAACACAAAGTAAAATGTTAGTTCCTAAACTCCTTGTGTTCTATTAACATGCAATTTTAACTTTAAATTTGACACTTTTGTTTTACACAATGGAACTATCACTCACATTCTAATCTTATTTTAAAGAAGAAGTGGGGTTTGGGAGAGGTTAAATTCAAAAAATCAATTGTCTGGAATGTTTCAGTGATGAGAAACTGAAGACATTTTCGAAATAATTCAAATATATAACAAAAATTTTTGAGCTGACAATTAAAGAGAAACTTCTGCCCTGTGCCCTGTGGCTGTTAAGAGGGCAAACAGATGACAGAAAAACCTCATCACAAGGAGAATTTCTGCTTTTTTAATCATTAAACCATTACCCCTTGGAACACACAGCAAGTTTATTTAAGAAAAAGAAAAGAAAGAAATAGAAGAAAAGAAAAAGTGGAAAAACAAATGCCAGCTGGCATGTCTAAAAGTAGGCCAGAATAGAAGGAGAAATACTTCTGGCCAAAATGAAGCAAATTAAAATCTAAGAGATTTAATATAGTCATTCTCCCCTTTGATCACACYGCCAACCATCAAGGTGATCATGAGACACACACTCCTCTTTCGAATTCAAAGTCATAGAATGCAAATTGTTTTTCAACTGGTATATTCATAATATCTACAAAGATTACTCAGATATTATAATTTAGTGCTATTTCAAAGCATTTTATAAATATCTAAGTATGGAAAAAACATTTGAAAGAACTTTCATTTTTTAATGTAGAGCATAAGCCAGAACATTTAAACCAACTCAATTAGTCCTGATTACCCAAAGTAAGGCTGTTCTTTCCCTCCCCCCTTTTTTAAGTCCCACACATAACATCATAAGATTCCATCACTAAAACATTATTTTAATGTGATCATAATTATTCAAACACAAAAGTCAATCTATTTAAATCGAGGGGTTAAAAAGGGTCCTTACTGCAAAATCTTCCCTCCACTGATGGGCTGCTTGAACTTTCTCTGCTTCCAAAGCCAGGCGCTGAAAAAGAAACAGTAAATCTTAGAATTTAAGTGACCACATGAACATGTAATTATTACATAAAGTGCTTAGGTTGTCTAATCAATTACGAGGACATAATAGCAGAGGAGACTCTTTGTTTGTGATTCATAAAGTCTAAATCATTTAGCAATCTAACCTATTAAAGTTGATATATTTACTATTTAGTGATAAATAACAAACTATTCCTAAATGCCATCCAGTTTACTATATCTGCTGTCATCAGCAGTAGTGTCCTCTACAAGTGCTTTTTTTTTCAATGACTTACCATCTCCATTTGCTAAAAACTATCAAGATAGGATATTAATTTTGCTAGAAAATTGTTGACATTTCAAGCCTCTAATTAAGTTCTGTTCCAGTCAAGTGACATTTTTATTTTTATTTTTTAAGTGACATTTTTAAAGTCAATGAGCTACTATTAAGGACCATAGGTAAACTATACTAAGACTAATAAAATTTCTATCTAATAAAATGTGAATTGCTTGGTACAGCATGCCGTTTTCATACTAGGCTATAAAAATACATCCTGTAACAATAAAGTATGCAGCAGGAAATGTTTCTTTCACTTAACTGTAGCACAGTACAACAGAGTATCAAACATGAAAACCAGACTGAACACTGGACAGAAACAAAAAACCTGGCTCACTCAGCATGGATCACAGAGAGAGTGAAAGCGTAATTCTGCTTATATCATGAGAAATCAGAAGTTCATTAGCTTTATTGTAAATGAGATCATACATGTTTACATGAAGTTCCTTTAGGTATAGATGATAAATATATGTATAATTGTAATAGATAACACATGCAAACCAATTGTTTTGAACATTTAAAATTTTTAAAAATCATTTAAATATGTTAAAAATTTAATTTTATGAAAACTAAATAAATCTTAAGGATTCTGACTGCAAAGTTTGTGCTCATTCCACAAAACTACTCTTCGGTTTCTCACCCAGTCCATCAAAAGTGGCATCAGCAGACATTCAATGTACATATCAAGACATAGCAGTAGTATCAAAACCAGAACACTGGTAGAGATCCATGATTATTTAGAAATTGATAAATAGGAAAATAAAAATAAGCACCAAAAAATATTGTGCAGTGTGTTAGTCTGGAAAGTGTTTTTAGAAAGGTCTTGTCCTGGTATCCTTAGAGACTATTGCTTATCAGTTTAAAAAAAAAAAAAGCTTTTGATATGCAGTGGTCTGCAGAAGAAAGAAAACACAGGGGAAGCAAGCTTATCAGATGAGAGAAAGATCAACTCCCTTGAAGGCTTTGCTTTCTCAACCTTCACTTTGTCTCACATGAACATCTTTTCTACCAGCATTGAATTCTGTCAGGTGACATGAAAGTCTACTAAAAAGTATAATTATAAAGTATATAAAGATTCAATTGTATCATTCTAATTCAATGACACCAAATACATTTTTTTGCTTAGAAATTGACTATTTAAACAAAAATTTCTGAGGAAATAATTTGCCTCCTACTTTGTAGATTAATTATTATTTAAAGGATTTTTTAAACTTTATGAAATATTTCATTAAGAGGAATTTTCCTTTGATAGATTTGAAAGAAAACTATCAGGAATCATGATAGTTCCCTGAGACTCAAATAATGTTGAGACTCATATTTAAATATCAAATATTTACTTAGAGACATAATTTAAACATTCCAAAACAATTTCTTGGGCTACCCTATATCAAGAATTTTATTTTTTAATAAAGGGGTAATAGATAAGAACAGACTAACCCAAATAAAATATGCATGTGTTATTTGATTAATGTTCAAACAGTTAACACCCAATAAGGATTAGCAAATTACTATATTACTCCTATGTTGACAATCTAATTATCATCCTAATGAGTTTTAGCTATCTTCATCAAAAGGTTATTAACATATCAAAAGGATCATGATACTYATTTAAAAGGCCTAACAATACCTATTGAAAGTAGCAGACTTAGGTGAATGAACAGACTTTTATGTGTTCTGAAGAAAAGTGCATAGGTACCATAATTAAYGTGGAGCTATGGTATAATGAACAGGAACTTCTCAATCACATAGAAATGATATCCAATCGTGATGTTGCCTTTCACTAACAATGGAATTTTAGGCAAAGATTTTAACTGTGATCARCTGCTAGGAAATTTATCACCTTTATATATTTTCTATTTGATATTCTAAAAATATGGTATATTATCAAATCCACAAAGTTCTGCTTCCATTTGAATTGCATAAATGTGACTCCATAGAATGTCATTATAGTCACTGATAACCACCTSAACATGTAAATAATACCACTGAAATGAATGAAGACTCTTAGTGGTCCCTAAATTCTACTGTATTTCACCCTCCAGAAAAGTTCCTATCTATAGAACCATATGGAGGTAAAACATGCAGCTCTGGGGAATAGTTTAACATGGCAGTCAATGTGCATTCAATTTTATTTCATTCTATTTTTACCATAAATGACATAAAAGGAGATAGATCTTTGTGCTCTGCTTTCTGGCCTCACTTCCTAAAGRGAATAGAGAAGGAGATAGTGAGGTGTGACATTTCTTCATTCTTTCTTATGCTGACAAGGAGTTCTTGAAGACCKGAATAGACAGGGCATTASAGACCTCTATGAATATTTAGTGTCRTATTTCATCTCAAAGGAGATGCTCTTCTCTTTCCAATAACCTTAAAGAATTCAGTTCATTTAAATTCATACAAATATATAGGTCCGGAATTTTTCTTAAGCCTTCTAGCCATTTATGTATCCTAATGAACAAGGATTTTACTATGTAAAATTAGTGTAGAAAAATAGTTCTATTTTTAATTCTATCTGTTTAGTTCATTTTGCTTTAAATATTTCTATAAAGAAATATTACTRGAACCTTGAAAAAGCTCAATTGGATTAAAAAAGCCAGGTTGGAGATTCGAACTTGAAGTTAAAAAGTTACAAAATGTAAAACTACCCAGGATGACTTAACTTCAGCACATTCCAACATTTAATGATTGTAATAACTAGAGAAATAAATAAATACACATTCCATGTTGGAGGAAAAATATCTTAAGAAACAGTGTGGCCAGGTGAGGTGGTAGGAGACTGTAGTCCCAGCTACTCCCAAGGACAGGGTGAGGAGATCATAAGTTTGAGGCCAGCCTGGGCAATACAACTTGACCCTGTCTCAACAACAAAAAAATAGAGTAGGTATGTACTTGTGTTCTATAAACCTTTACTAAGGGYGTGCTGTATGAAACTGTATAAAGAATAAAATACAGAACCACAGTTCCTGCCTCTAAAGCAAATGAACCATCTACTATTTCTTCTTCTCTCTTGCTCACTCTCACCATCACACATGCACACACCCCTTGTGTTATTTGATAGATGCTGTCTGAATGGGTACAACACACATGATTAGTTTGACTTTATTTCAGTGGCTGTTCTACATGGAGAATAAAATGTTTAAAGCACTGCCTTTTATCCAGACTATAAATATGAAGTGTTGCTAGCCAAAGATAAGATTTAGTCACAGGTCATTTTTGAAGGGGGTTACTGAAAATACTGAAAAGCAYAGAAACCAACTGTCTGAAAACTGCCATCCAAAAATCACTTTTATCATTCTTTATATTTGATTGATAACTTCTTGTGAAAAATAAATATTTTTTAAATATTTGAAATAATTATTTATAATATTATTTATTATTATTATTTATAATAATTAATAATATTTCAAATCACTTTGAAGTTCCCGTTCGTCACCTCCTGGAACAATTCCCCAGCCCCCAGGAATCATTGAAATGAAGTAATTGGTATCAATTATGTGGCACTGTTTGGAATGTTTTTGTTTTTTTTTTTTTAATAGGTAAATGTTATCACATATTGATATTGTGGATTCTTCTTCCTAGTAGGCTGCAAGCAGGTTGAATGACAAAAAGAAGTTCCACTAGCTTCTTGAGGGGAATGAGTTTTCTAAGGAGAACCCATTACCCTTTCAAGTGACAGTTTAGATTAAATAAGAGAATCATTTTAGATCAATGATGTATAAGAAGGTTTTCTGAGGGATTTGGAAAGAAAAATAATGTCTGGAGGAGGGCAGTGCCCCTCAGGGAAACTACACTGAAGCCATCTCCAGATCCTTTTCAGCACCCAAATTCTGTCTCTATAGCATCTTTTTCATCAGAACACAGAACAGGCCTCATTTGTAAACACAGGCCTGTCTATTCTCTCAAGAGACCAGCATGCTTTCCACTCAGACATTACTCATGCTGTCTAAATTATCCTAAATCATCATGTCAGCAACGTTTAACAAGATGTGGCACTGCCCTCTTTCTCTGGCACTGGAGGTTAGCAGTGCACCTCAAACAATGATGACCAAAGCTGCTGTGTTACTCATGTTTGCCCAAACTATGCTTTTGCAGACCTTCTGATTTGTTTAATGGCATGAAATACAAGTACATAATCATGATCATCATTTTTGCAATTTCCCAATTTTATTCTTGGCAGGACGATCCCATATTGATTTCAAGTTATAAAAAGTATTTCAATATAATCCAATTTTAATTTAGAAAAAATATATTCAAATATTGAGCGATTCTTCTGAATCCTGATAAAATAGTATAGCACCTGCCCAACTACTGGTTTACAGTGGAGAAATTTTATTTTAAAAAGAGAGTTTTTCATCTTAATTACTGCTTCTCAAAAGAAGAACAGGCTGTTAATATACACTCTGGTTAAAGTAACCTGTAAATAGGTTGAGGAAATAGAAATAAAGCACTGTGTGCAGTCTATTTAGTGGTGTCAGATTAAATGCCTTAATGCTTCTATAAATACCAAAATCATTAAATGAGATAATTATTAACATTTACAAAAAAACATTAATTTGGGATTATACAAAGCCAAACCATAAATCCATCTTACACTGAATGAAGTACAATGCAAAGTTACAGGTTATTTTTTATAGCCTATCATTTTCTTATAACTGATTTCCTGCCAGGTTGTG